CTTTTGTGCATGGCCGTGTCCGGAAAATGAGTGTACTCTTTTGTGGGCGCTTGTGGGGAAGATTAAGCGCCTTTGAGGTAAGAGACACTGGAACGTTGTCACCCCACCCCACCCCCGGTTAGCATGAGAAGCCCAATCATCCAGATAGCAAGTAAACATCTATCTTGTTGGTGTGCCAAAGTCTGTGCTCATCCATCACCGAATCGCAAAGATTCTAAAAGTGCTTTTTTTCTTTTTTATCTCATTTTCACACGCAAAAATTATTTATTAATATATCTAACCCATTTTTATCCTCTCTGTGGTTCTTCACCCTGCTTAATGGATCTCTCAGGCTAATTCTCCTCATCAGCAGTCTAACCACGGGCATTATTTTTCCTTCATTCCTTGAAATATTTTGTGCAAATAGGCAAGTCCGTTTTGGTATATTTTTGTCCATCCCCCCTCGTTATGTCTGAAATCCAATGTATCTACTGGTTAATCTGTACTCTCCATTCGATTGGCCTGAGGAGAATTGTAACACTACCTTGCTCATCTGGAGGCTTTGGAGGAGGCACCTTGTGTGTGTATATATGTTTGTGTGTATGGACTCTTATCAAAAGATCTATGAATTAGTCTGATCCAGACCTCTTTTTTACACCTTAGTCTGGACCATCAAATGATGGAAAAGTAAGATTTATGAGGATGCTGAAAATTGAGTTGTCAAAGCGATAAGTGAGGACGCCGACTGTATATTATAATGCCTACTCTCAGAACGGAGACCCATGAGGCTGTAGCCGTTTGTTCTCTTCAAGTTTAGCTTGGGTTCTGGTGTGTTTTTATCGCTATTTCTCAGAAGAGTGAGCGGCATTAGCACTGCCAGCATGTCGAAATTCGACTATCTGTTAATCCTATTCCCTGATAGAGCTCAAAGACCGGATAGTACAAATAATGCAAGGCACTGAAAAGACAAAAAAAACCGAAAATCCGGCCAGAAATCGGCTGGAAATTTCACGAAGAAGTATTCAGACGAGAGACAGTAGAGCCCGAAATGTGGTCTCATAGAGATTAGTAAAATTTTTTTTGATGCTATGGAGACCAAAGAACATGTAAGAGTAGAGAAATGCTTTACATCTAATCGAGGTGATTAAATGAAGCCGGAGCATCAGAAAAAGGCATACGACCAAATAAGGGGTAGTGGCAACAGGAAAGGCATTGGCGCATGTATTTGCAGTCTCGACTCACATGCAGTCGAGCCAAATGCCATGAGGAATTTCGTCCAGTGCCCGAGAGGCACTGCAAGAAGGAGACAAGACCTCTCAACCCAGTGCTCGAGTGGGATTCTCGCTCAGGCGCTTTGAGCAATCATCAAAGCCATCTGCTGCCAGGCCTCTGTAGTTTTGCTGTCCTCTTTATTACTAAAGTTGAACAACACTGTCTCCAGCTTTGACTCGAGGGCTGCCGGCCAGAAATATGTGGGAATGTGCCCGCAAACTGGCATGGAGATTTGTAGGTGCAGTATTTTATGCTTTTATACTGCCAATAGTTTATCGTTTTTATCCATTCAATTGCAATCACAGTCTGCTTGTGTCTATCTGTACCAGCCAGGCCGTTCAGACTGGCCTCTTGAAGAAATGTCGATAGTGCGCATTCCTGCACTCTTCTGGCCACATGATCTGTCGGCACCCTGAACTTGAGGATGAGGCATGCGTACGCCCCAGATTTGTCTGTAAACATCTTAACGATTAAACAAAGTGAAAGTGTGCGTGAAAAAAGCAACTTTCTTGACTGAATTATACACAGGTTTGCGCTCATTCTCGGCAGTTCCTATCACCATAGTAGCATCGCCATCCAGTGAAAGCAATCTCTTCTG